GGGGTTTTCTTCTCGCGCATACGATTTAAAAGAATGCCGAGGTCAACGTCCTGCAGCTGGTGACCCATGATTACATCAGGATCCATCTTCTCAAAGAGAGCCAAGAACTTGCTTAGCAAGAACTGCTCGCTCTTCTCCAGCATAAAGGTGCCACGCTGCTTCTTTGTTTCGGAATCGAAGTGGATGGGATAGCTTGATCCAGCAGGACGCATGACGGTGAATGTTTTGCAAGGGATTTTCTCGGGAGAAGTGGCGTCTGTGAGAGAGATGTCCTCATAAACCCTGGCACTCACCATGAGAATTTCCTGCTTGTTGTCCTTGACGTTGAGTTGATGACGGAAAGACAGACTCATGAGTGTCAATGGTGGAGTATCCAAATTCTCCGTTTCTGGAACAGGGGTGATCAGGGCTGGCTTGGAGGCCTGGCATTCGAACTTGCACCAGGATGCATTATTGACGGCAGAGAAATCAGCCTCGTCAATTCTAAGCCAGCAAGGACCCATGATGTTCTTCCACAGCACGAACTGTTCGAATAGAGATGTGTTTGTACCGAAGACGTGCGAGTAGGTTTCACCCTTGGTTTCCATAGGCAATGCTGGCTTATCATATGGATAAAGCAGCTTGAGGTAGTCGGCCTCCTTGGGAACACCGGGGAGCTCGAATGCATACTTGCGAGTGCAGGGTTTGATCTTATGTATGCCAACTCGCATTCGTGACATGAGTCCATCAACCTCTCCGTAGACATCCTCCATTTCAATCTCCTCCTCGGTCTCTCTTCCTTGCTTGTGTCGGTATTCGCGAGGAAGGAAGTAGAGTTTTCGTAAAATATTGTCGATCTTAACGAAGGCACTGGCATAGGAACCATTTTGCTTGTTCTTGACTTTTCCGAAGAGACAGAGACTACCGTTGACCTCAGTGTAATCTAGCCAAAACATCCGCAAGCTGCCATCTTCCTCGACGACATCTTGAGCACGCAATTTGCCGAATGATCGCATCTCGGGTGCTGGGCTGCTGAGGACATTCAATTTGCTTTGAATGTCATTCCAAGAAGCGTCCATAACCTCCGGTGCAACTTTGGCGGGAGAAGAGCTGGCCGCCGTAGGAAGAATCTCCTTCTTGAGCTTTGGAGGTGGGCGGCTGCCCGTCATGTTCACACTTGTAGCCTTGATGTTTGAGGATACCGTAGCCTCCGCAACATCCATCATATCAACATCGTCGTCATCGAACGCTTCCTTTTTCACAGGAACCGCCGTCTTGCGCTCCACGGCCTTGCTGATGGGAGACGAGGGCATTGGATCTCCCATTTCGATATCGTCGTCGCCCACCTGAGGAAGTGGATCGTCATCAAAGTCATCGGAGTGTAGTGACGGTTGGTCTTTGATCGGCGAGCTGGGGACTTCGTTCTCGCTTTTGTTGTCGATCAATTCTCGGCGTCGCCTTTCGGATAAAGGTGGGGATAGGACGCGCACTTTGCGCCGCGCTTCGGATTTGACCAGGTTCCTGGTAGGGATGTGATTGGAAACGAGGTTGGTGTCAACTTCACCAAGGAGATCTTTCATGAAGGCGTCGTCCTCGGCAGTGGCAACCGGCTAGAGCCTCCTGTCAGCAACGGCTACGAGCCATGCAAGTTCCTGTCAGGACACACTAACCTTCGGTTTGGGTGCTGATGCAGCAGCACTGCCGCTATTAAAGTACTTGGAGATACCATTGTTGATCTTCTCCTTCCGCTGCTTCTCCTCCTCGCGCTTTCTCTTTGCAGCTTTACCACGAACGGGCAATTCGTCGCTCTCGTCGCTGTCGTATTCCACAGTGCGCTCGTTCCAGACCTCTCGACCGTCATCGGCATATCCGGCGCCGTTATCGTCAACAACAAAGTCATCTTGGTCGAGACGGCTGCGAATTACTTTTTTGTAGCCGTCGTCGTCGACCTCGTCGTAGATATCGCCCTGGTCCTCGATTTCGTACGTTGAGATACGCTTCTTGCCGGCGGCACGGAGTGCCCTCAGCTCTTCCAACTTGTCGCGAGCAGACGGCATCGTTCGTATTATTATGGACAAAAGCCCATATATGGCGTGGGACTCGAGACAACAATTGGTGGGGAAGAGGAGGACTGTAAAGGGAGATCGCGCCGGAGGACGCAGGGCGCGACGGGACGCGATCGGGACGCGTTAAAGTGGTTTAGGTAAGAGTTAGTACCTTACTGCCTGAGGCAACATGGCCACCAACGTCAGCACTTATCAGTCCTTCCCAATTGGGCAATTCGACCATCGGCATACCTTTGACAATCATGTGTCTTCGGACAGTGCCTCTATGAATATGGTGATACCACTAGCAAAAGACTTTTGAGTATAATGAGTTCTCTGAGGGTAGCCAGAGTACTCCGTACTTGGCACGTGATGGCCGGAAATTGTGTTCTCTACTTCCCGTCCTGCTGTGTTTCCTATGCGCACTGTATATGGAACTAGACTTCGCGATTCTATTTCGATTTTCCTAATGAAATCATATCAAAAGCTCGTGTGGTCAAGTGGTTCACGGCGTCTGAGGGGGTAAGGGGGATGGGGGGAGTGTTTTTTTGAGAGATATTAATAATACAATGGTTACAGATCATCATTATGAACTCGACAGGTCTCGAAAGTTGCTGCTGTGGTAACGACGAAACTTTCATCATTTTGCCGATGACGACTTTCATTATAGGTACCCCGCCCTCCTTTAGCGTGTCGGGAATGTCGCTCATAACACTCATTTACTTGAGGTGCGACTTACCAGACAGCTATCTGGTCCGAAACAGATTCTGTAGGCACCGAAGAATCGGAGTCCGTGGTGATATGCGCGTGGGGTTTTGCATGCGGCGGAGAGGATTTGGAAAGAGTGGGTGGGAGGTGACTGTCTATGGCCGATCCCCAGCAGCCTCCTTCCCGGCCTGCTAAGAGCTCTTGGGGACTACTATATTCCACTAGTCGGCCTTGCTTCATTAGTTCATCGGAGTAAGGGCATGGAATTCTCCACTATCTCAACGCAACCACTGTAGGACTAGGTTCCTCTGGTAGATATCCCCGACTATGGCGGCGCGAATGCGCCGAAATGCCTTCCCCGTTTTAGGGGCTTTGGCGTTCTGTTTGGATGGAGACGGTATGGCGTGGTTCCGCAGACAGTTGTTCAGAAAGGGAAAGAGAATGATCGATGTAAGGTGAAAAGCGACCTATAGACCAACACTGCTTGCCTAGCCATTTTGTCGCCCTCTATACTCGAAGTCTAATATTAAAGCTAGCTGAATTAGCGTGGAGACTAGTTTGAATTAGAAAGCGGGAGAACTACCGGACTCATCAGCTAAAGAGTGGATGATTGATTGATTGATGAAGAAATTTCCAAGTCCACTATGACAGGCTAGGCAAAGAGAGGATTAAGTCGGTGCCATTCTACGAAGCAGCTAAATCTAGGGCAGAAAAGAGGAAGGAGTTCTTCTCGCGAGTGGAAGCCTTTTTGTTATGGGCTAAAAGGAATCTTCCACTAAACCTTAGTTTGCTAGTTCGCTATTCAATCCTTCTACCCAGCTTCGTCACATTGCCCCCTTCTTTAACAGGAAAAGACCCAGTACCGAGGTGGTTTTCTTGGTGACGAGATGGGCATGGGCAAGATAATCCAGGCCGTTTCGCTCAGCATGTCCGATTTTCCTCAGCCCGAGCCGACCCTTGTCATTGCGCCACCTGTCGCTCTGATGCAGTGGGTCTCTGATAGTGCGCACTGTATATGGAAATAGACTAGGGCTCTGGCCAAACTACCTCTTTCCTGGCCGAACTGTGTCAAAAGCTCGCGTGGCCCAGTGGTTTAAGGCACGTCGCTCGTATTCGTACTCGCGATCGTATGATTCGGTACAGAAAAACGACGGGATCCCCGGTTCGACTCCGGGCGTGAGCAAAAGGTTTTTGTTTTTTGTGGCCAAGGGGTAACAGGAAAGGACCCAATGCCGAGGTGGTCTTCTTAGTGACGAGATGGGCATAGGCAAGACAATCCAGGCCGTTTCGCTCAGCATGTTAAAGGTTAACGTCTACCACAACTCAGATTCAAAGGTTAAGAAGCTTTCGCGGGCGGATCTCCGGAAGTACAAAAGGACCTGGCCACTAGATTTAGGCCAAGAATTCTCATGTAATCAATTCGATCTGGCCAATCAGAGGCTGTTATTATCGTCTGGTGATCCGGTTCAAATTGATCGTTCAAGGCAGCGTTAATATATGCGTTCAATCGCGTTGGCGGTCCTGACAACTCTTGGGTATTTCGTATGGAAGGCCAGCAGCTTATCTGGTGAATTCTTGAAAGCTCACGATATGGGTATAGGAAATCCCATTAAAGGTTGTAACCTAAAAAGGAAAAAAAAAAAAAATAAAAAATAACGAGCTCACGCCCGGATTCGAACCAGGGACCTTCCTGTTTCGGAATGAACATCTTAAGATGTGTCATTCTACAAGCAGGACGCTCTAAACCACTGAGCTACGCGAGCTTTGGATGTTATATTGCAAACTCAGACAGCTCATCACAACTCCAGACAAATCGTCTAAAATCACGGATATCTCCACAAAAACCTTTCCATCTAAATCCTAGATCAATGATTCTATCTATAACAGATCCTAGTGTATCCGATTTCTTAGAAGGAAGGATCCATATAGGACGGCACTAATCAAGATAGAAGTTCTTCTAGCGAATAGGATTAACGAGATAAGATAGATAATCCTCTGATGCATAAGATCTTATAATATCTGATGGTGGAGGGTAATCAAAGGAAGGTCTTGAGATCACTAAAATTAATTAAACTGATTGAATCTGGGCTGTTAAACTAATGAGTGAAAGGGTGCTTTATGGAAGTACACGAATGGGGCAGTTTAGAGTAGCAGCATATTCCACAAAGCAATAAAAGAGCCAATGAAGGCGTCCCGCTCGTATAGAGAGAAAACTGGAAGATGCCCCGGTTCGGGGCGGGAGTAGTAGAGTGATTGCACACGTATAACTTACACACGGCTCTCCAACGAGGGCTTGTCATACCCTGGCGCTGCAGGGTCTGCTTCGGCCTCGGGGGCTACCGTACCGTCTTCTTCCACCGCGGGATCTTGGTCGGCCTCGTGGGCCACCGCAAAGTCTTCGTCGGCCTCAGGGACCGGGGACCGCACACGCGCGGAGGAACGGCGATGACCGCCCATCTTTCTCCATGGTCAGAGCAAGGGACTCTGAAGTACAGAGTGTTTGACTAACCGCATCTGCAGGATCCATGCCCTGAAAGAGTAATAGATATTAATGACACGACAGAAATGTTCATGGCACGACGAGGCTAGTCCTAACCAGGAAATCCCCCCTTTCTACACAAAATGGTACATTCGAAATTCACAAAATACCTACCGAGTCATTATGTATAATTCATATTGATACTTCTCGTTATTATCTTTAGCGACTGTATACGCGACCTCTATCTATTTATCCCTGTAATAGACCAAGTTATTATCATACTCACCCTCCTACTATTACCCTTTTTTACGGTCTTTTCTGTGGTCTTTTCTATGGTCTTTGTAAACTGGTCTTCACTCTATCTACCTACTCCTTCAACCAATCCTCCAGCTCGGCAGCCAAGATACTGTGTACATGGCTCGTCATATGCCCAGAGTTAAACCAGAAGTACGTGTCCAGCGGCGTCGGACATCCATAAGCCTTGTAATTTGTATCAATATCCGGCTGGTCATATCCAGCGCAGAAGTTGGTCGTATTCACAATCCCATACTTTGCCGGGTCATCCAGCATCGCCCTCAACCGCGCATGCGCATCGAACACGCGCATCTCCACATCTCCCTTTTCCTTCCCGAACTGCTCTGCCTTGGTCGCAAGTGCATCATTGTACCAGGCCACCTGCGTCGCATTGGGATGTGGCGTAGTCGTCGCCTGATTTCCTGGGGTGCGGTCTAGGGGTGGCAGATTCATGAAGAGGTAGGATCGGTAGCCTAGACTGTAGAGTTCATTTACGGAGGAGAATAGTGTGCGGGTGAGGTTGCCGTAGAAGGTTGGGAAATCAGCGGCGTATTTGGAGCTATCGCCGACGTCGTTGATGCCAATCCATACTGCAATTAGGGATTTGGAGGGTGGTAGGAAGGTTTGGAGGACCGGTGCGCCGTAGGATTTGAATTGGGTGATTTGATTGACCAGGGAGACTGTGTAGTTATGGTGTAGGGGTGTGCTAGAGGAGAAGTGTTAGTAGGTCCTTCGCTGATATTCAATGTTTTGAGACGTGGTTTGATATGGTAGGATCTCGATGGCAAGCGTACTACTCCGTTGAAATGTCTGCTCCCGCAAAAGCAAAGTCCCAGAGCTGCTTTGAGCAAGTCTTTGGGGATGTCAGACCCGGCTTGAGACCGCACTTTGTGAGATATTCAACCCAGTTGGGGCCTCCCTCTGCGGTTGCAGTCTGGATACTTGGTCAAATGTTGTCCTGTTCTGGGACGAATATAGGATGATCGCTATGTATGGAAGGGTACTGACTTGATTTTGCACTATTTTGTTTGACAGCAGGGTTTCTGCATCGTATGAGAAGTTAAGTTGATCGGCGATGAAGCTATAGTTCTGGTGTCCATGAGTTCCCTGGACGTAGGTATAAGAGTCTCCGAACGCAATGCTGCAAAGGATGTTATAAAAAGTTTTCCAGATATTGGATATAAGATAGTGATCAGGGGTAGGTAGTTACTCACAGTGCCTGTTTTGATGACCAGTCAAATTTATCCCTTGCCTTCGGTGTTGGAGAAGCTACATTGAACGTGGCAAGAGGGAGAAGAGTCAGGACAATTTCTGAAGACCAAAGCATGTTGTCAATTGAATAAGAGTCAAAGTTGAGACCGGGGAGATATTGGTTTTTGGAAAAATTTATATTCTCAATTGCTCGCTTTTATACATGCAGCTTCTCTTGCCCTTACTCCAATGTATACTACATATATTCATTTCTATCCGGATGAATGGACCGTCGATGTTCTAACCCCGCAATCGCTTGCAAGTCCGGGGTAATTGTAGACGAAGACGGAAGAAATTTTTCCGTAGCCCACAGTACACCGAATTTTAAGGACAAACGTCTCTTTGAGAGTCTCGAGGAAGTGGTGGAAGCATAATTATGTAATACTAGTCATTGTCATCCATCGGGGGATAATAGTCCGGCAGATGGTATAGCGACAAAAGACTTGAAAGTGGAATGACGACATGTGAAAGGATATGACTTGAGATTTAGCTTAAAGGGCATGCTTATGCAATAAAAGCAGCAAAGCTTGATTCCTAGAGTAAGGAATCGCTTAGCCTATGATGTAGAACGGTCAGATAATCTGGTCACTTATGTGGTTGCCTCGTATCGAGGTGGTAGTCCACGATATATATTTTCCTTGAAGTAGCAGCTCCAAGAAAATTCTAACCTCATCGGCTCAAGCGTCAAGATCGCTCGATTTTTCAACATTACTCCATACTAGATCTTCGAGTGACCCGTAAACTAGTTTACTACTTCATCTGAGATCATCGAGATGTTAGTTCGTCCAGGGTCATCCGTCGACGTTTATGCATCGGCCCACTGTGAGGCTGTGTTTGCACCTGGGGTGGATTCGAACTTCTTAATTGGTCTCACAGCATCGTGCGGTGCCTGATGCAGAAAAAACAAGCGCACGCTAAGAGGGATACTGTGGGGGACATGGCTATTGCTTTCCTTAGGGAGATCCTCTTTGCTGACAGTCTGACATGGATTCGCTTTCTCGCTAGCGTCACGAGTCATGAACATATGGGGTGGGATGTACATGGAAGATGACTACACGTCTGAAAATCCGTTGAGATCATAATGATACCACACATAAAGTAGTACGTTCATGCCATTGAAGACTTATCAGTTGTTTTTTTTTAACCAAGACCAGGCCCGTAAAGGTGACTTTAATAGGAAGGTGTAAATACCTACCACATACAAGTCGACGACGGCTCGACAGCATCCAGACCGGAGTCGAACCGAGCGATCTTCCCAAAGATTGTGCCGAGTGTCCACGCGCCAACGCACAGAATATGCAGAATACTTGGTACAACAACAGGGGACAAAACTAGATATCAGCGCCCTACTGTCGAGCTGATGACATCTGCGTATGCATTGGTTCCAAAGCTTTTCTTTTCCCTGCAACCACACGCCCTCAAAGTTCCCGACTCAGCAACGTGCAGCATGTCCATCACAAGCTAAGACATCCAGCCCGCAAATCTGCATGCAAGAGGCGCCGTTGATGTATTCGTATTATACGGTATATATTGGAATTCTATCTCGACGCGTGCCGCCCATCGAACCGAAAGACAAGGGACGGATATAAGATGATCCAAAATAGGAATAAACAGAATTCCATTTTGGCCACTATGCTCTAAGCCTCTCCAATTTCCCATTCCCAGTTTTCAGATCCTTGTCACCCGGCTTTTCGGAAACTCAGCGTACGCATTGGGTGAAGGCCTGCATGAATCAAGCGGCCAGTCCGTCAGGATGGCCGGCGGACCCCGCGCCAGAATTGCCACTAGTGGTACAGCTAGTAGCGTAACGGGATTCCCCATGTCATGTACGTCCAAATACCACAGTAATGTACTGAAGACTTCGAGACGGTGTATCTCCTCCCGAGATTTACTTTTTTGACTTTGGAAGTGTTGTCAATTAACCTCCTTCCTAACTAACACCTGCCCAGTACTGCACGAGCTACACTATCCAGCTGTACAGAGCAGCCGTAGAATATGCATGGAAAAAAATAACTTCCTGCTAGGCTAGTTCGGGTAATATCATTCAGGCTTGTGCTTATCGCGAGGAGGTACTGTACCCTGTACTTTGCATTATTGTTATGATCGGGCTGGCCGACGCCGTACCGAGTACAGGATCGGTTAGTTGTTTGTTGGACAGAACTCGCCTTCGATCCGATTGCGTCTACAACGGTCTAGCCACGCGTGGACACAGGACATGGCGAGCTGGGATCTCACATGGTCGCGACGGAACTCCACCGACGGCGTGCTATGAAGGGAAGAAGATATTCGAACCCGACAAGGCTGATATTCAAGGAGGCGACCAATTTGGGACTTAGCAGCAGTGGGAGATTACCATTTAGTTGGTGATCATCCACTTGTTTCTTGGACTTTTGTACATCGTATATCATTTTGATTCATTATTTGGTCATCACCATCGACAAAGTACTCCCTTCTCTACTGCGGGATTCAATATTCCCGGACTTATGTGACCCCCTGTCTCCCGGGATTCGGATCCTTGACTGAATGGACTTAGCCCAGTGGCTGCAATTATTACACAATTTGCTTTTCGTTTTGTTCCTTGTTTCCCTTCCCTTGTTTTGTTTCTTATTGGATGTCGCTAAATCGACATACTTCAATATTGATGACGGAGTACGGGGTACTTTCCTCCATATTGTACTGTATCCCTCCATCTGCTCCAGACCATCTGCATACAGTCTTCCAATACAAAACCAAAAACTGAACCTGACCTACCTCCACTCTGGAAGTCACTTGCCGATTTCCTGCCCATACTCTAACCGAGGGGAAAGGGGGGCCACTACTCCCCCCAACCGCGCAATTGTTTATGCACTGCACAGTGTGCATGGGAATAAACCCGGAAAGGAATCGAGGCTCCGGGGCAAAACGACGAGTTCCGTGATCATCAACTAGGAGACTCGACCCGCGAACGAGTCGTCTCGATTGCTCCGAGGCGGCCTAACACGATCTGCCGAAGGATTAGGCGGGTAAGACTTACCGTGTCTGGAGTAGCATCCCATCCCAATGTCGGGTCCGCACTGGCCACGGCCCCAAAAGGGCCCCCAAGTTTTTAATTTTCATTTCCCAGAGCTCAAAAGTTCCAGTGTGAATGTGGACAGGCCGAAGTGGGGACGGAGATTGGATAAAGTGGATCACGGAGAACGAGGTCACAGTTTAGTGGACTTACCGTGGGTGCACGGGGCATGTCTCTATCCGATTTGGCCTGATGGGTTAATTAATTCGTTAGATTACTAACTGTGTTGGGTGTAGTCGTCGAGTGCGACACTTCGGTAAGAGGCTTAGGTCTTGTTGTACCCGAGGAATCAATCCCAGTTCCCACTTAAAAAGTACTGACAGCTTAGGCGATTGGTTTTCCCCCTTTCCCTGGGGGATCATCGCAAGGTAGTTCCAGAGGGTA